TTTGGGTTTTTTATCAGTAAATGACAAGCACCTTCCCTTTCAGCCCTTCTACTCTCCGCTCCCTTTCCCTCTCCAAGTTCAATGGAAAGCAGTTCAAGCAAGTAAAAGAATCAACTAATGTTACAGTCTCTTTAAAAGGTGAAATTTTCCATTTCAAAGAAGTCTCTAATCAATGACAGGGCACAAAAGGGAATGTGCTCATGTTTATAGGCACAGACCTTACAGAAGCTTTGGGAAACAAGTTCTGCAAAATCAATATGACCTCACTGGTTACAAATTTCGTATCTGCTGAATGAAACAAATGAACATTTTAAACAAGGCAGGTCACAAAGATTAGCTGTTGCATGACAGGTGTTTCAATAAATATTCTGAATAAAAAGCAAGGTCTCTTGAAGACAAACATCAGAAGATTTTTTTAAGAAACAAAATGGCAGCCAGGCTTGTGCCAGAAGAGCAATTTGAAGATTAGAGTCTAAATTCTCCAACTGCAGGTCACAATAAATTATTCATCAAAAAATAAACCATTTTTATTTGGCCTTGTGATTTGTTATTGGATGCTTCTCTCTATCCCACTTCATCTGATTCTATGTCAGGCAATGAAGACACTGATGTTCAGCTCCAGTCAATGACCTCAGCTGGAAATCTGCTGGAAGTATTCCCAAGGGCAAAGAAAGGCACAGCACTGAGAGATCTAAAGTTCTCAGAGGCACCAGAACTTGGGGCTGATCAGTAGCATGGATTTACACAAGTTAACCCCTATGTTAAGCCTCACTGCTCTACTGTGATTTAGACATCCAATACCCCACCATAATCTAAATCAAAAAACACTTACAGAGGACTCTACACCTCTTGTTTGGGTTTCTGGATTTTGTAGGACATTCATATGGAATACACACAGGCACAGCTCTGATTGGGTTTCTGGATTTTGTAGGACATTCACAGCTCTAACTGACTGTCAGGTGACCAAACACCTAGTATAATTCTCTGTCTGGGCTCCTTCTTTAGAACAAGCCAGGACTTAGCCCTCCTCAACACAGTCACTATGACATGTCCACCAAAGCAGGTTCCAAGGAGCAAAGGTGAAAGACTCCTCAGGTACTTTGGACCATCACAAGGAAAAACAAACATAGGAAACACCATGCCACTTTTTTGCAGATAAACATAAGATACATGGTAAAACAAACAAAATGATAATGTGGTACCAGTGCCTGTGGAATGACTCTCTAACATCAGTATGGAAATTATCCTAGGGAACATGGCATCTAGCATGGTCCATGATTAAACTGCTGATGGATGGAATTTCAAGGTCAGCACACAACACATATACACATGGGAAATTCACAGCAAGGAAACAGCACCCTTTCTATGATGATCAGTCTCCCAAATACACAATGCTGCTAAGCACACATATTTATGACTGTGGCTTACTAGCACTTGCCCTGTTTAGTACATGACCTTTCCCCTCTCCCTCTCCAGTATGTAAGTGCTAGCTTCAGCCATGGGATGTGATGTAGCTCCCTTACAGAGTACTTTAACCCATCTTAAATACATCCTTCTTGCTTACAGCAACACACGCACAAACTAGTGGCTTTGAAGAATACAAAATATATGAAAGAGCTCACAAAACTGCTGATTTTGCAAACTGGATTAGTAATTTGGGAAGGAAGGCAGCATGGTATAGTCCAATCTTGTCAGACCGCAGAAGCTAAGCAGGGTCAGCACTTGGAAGGGAGACCTCCAAGGAAGACTCTGCAGAGCAAGGCGATGGCAAACCACCTCTGCTTCTCACTTGCCTTCAAAGTCCCTTTGCTTGGGTCGCCATCAATTGGCAAGGCGATGGCAAACCACCTCACACACATATTAGCAGAGGTCATTTCGGGGGGGAACGCGGGGGAACACAGTTCCCCCGGGTGAGGTGCAGGGGGGCGGGGCACATTACGAAGCCCCACCCCCTGCTTCCAGCCGCCCCACTTCCAGCCCTCATTCAGCCAGGAGGAGGCAGGAGAAGAGGGAGGGTAAGTTGCTTCCTCCTCGCCTCTCCCCACCCCTGCCTGCCTGGGGCCAGGGAGGGCCTTGGCGGGGCTTCCTCCCACTCCCGCTGGCCTTGCAGGTCCACCGCCAGGTCCCTGATGTCAGGGTGTGTGGCATATGCTAATGAGTTATGCTAATGAGTTCCCCTAGCTCTTTTTCTACGAAATGACCCCTGCATATTAGTAATTCACATTTATACATCAAGTAACAAAACTTACATTTTATACAGTGTAATTTAAAACTTTACCCAAATGAGATTTTGAACCTCAATGCAACCAATCTTTCACACTTTATTTGGACAAAGTGCCAGGAATGTAGCCACTTCTAGCCAGCTAATCCAATTCCTTTTATTTTATTTCCAGAAACCTAAACCCAGGAGCACAGGAACTCATCCAAGTTTTAAGAACTGTGGGAAAATTGTTGTCTGTAAAACGGCTAATACTTCTATCCTATAGAGACCAACTTCTAGTCAGATACTTTTAAATAATGTTTCCTGTATCCATATTTTTAAAAACCTACTAAGATTATCTAGTAAGATCCTCCCATAATGAATATTTTTAGAACATTCAGCTCTTAGGTTTTAACTAAGTTCTGGTAAATATCCCATTTTTATTGATTCCTCCCCTCAGGAAACAGTTTCAGAAAATATTTCTCAGACAGATGATTAGTGGAATTTCCTTGCTGCTGAACAACAACTGAAACACACAAATTATGCCCTTTTCTATCTCAGGCCTTCCTGTTCCATGGCTATCATCCCCATCCAGGGATCTTATACAGTAGAGGAGGCTAAGAGAGTGATCTGTGATCCGTGAGGCTGCTGGTTCAAACTTAAACATAAAAATACCAGCCTGCTTTACAGGAGTGTTGTAAGGATTGTAACACTCCAAACATTTAAAATGTGTACAGCACTCCAAACATTTAAAATGCTAAGTCGGTCAGTCCTACGAAGTACGATCATTATCACAAACCTCTATCCTGTGGCATCGGTGACTGGCTTAAGGCAGGATGGGAGCTGGATTCTGGTTGACTACCAGGAGTCTGAGATGGCATCTGGCTACCTGCAAAACATAAGAAAAAAGGAAATAAATAACTGACTCTTGATATAGCAAAATGTACATTAATATAACCTATACTTATTAAAATTGTTGCATGTACTTCATGGAAATACTGCAACAGGTTTGGATTTTTCAAAATCTCTATTTTTCTGCAACTCAAGGTGAAAGCATGCATAAACATATTGAGAAACTGGCATGCTGAAATGTTCAATTTTGTACTGAGCTTGCTCCCAACCTCACCGACATGATCCAATTTATAGCTGCAAACCTCCTGACACGTATTTCTGTGAGGGAGTTTAACAAAATCCAAGTCTACTGTACAGTAGGACTCATTCTGTTGAGCTTGAACTGGCCTCCAGCCAGGAACACATGGACAGCTGCCAACAATACTACCAAAGATAAATTCCATCTATGCTGCTTAAAAAAAAGATCTTTCAATGAATCTGTATCAAAGCATAACACAGGAATAAAACCAATATATATGTAAAGTCTGTAGTGTGCACTTGGTTATCTAAATAAGAGCTTTTCATAACTTACACCTGGCAAAATAAGAAGCTAGCATGTAAATGGGATGTAGATTGACACAGGAGGGAATCTGAGTTAGTGTTTAACTGATGGGAAAAATCTGACTTCATAACCCACACATCACGAACAGTACCATTGATTGACATTCTGACCCTACAACTTTATAGCTGTGTGCAATAAAGCAGAGAGAATTGCTTCTACCGTAACACCTCTATGAAACAAGTTTGCCTCCTGCCACTGGTGTTCATTCTGTAACTTGAAACACAAAAATTTGTAATGAAGTGTGGGTGCTGTGTGGGTGCAATGTCCTGGGTCACTATCATGTCACTTGTCATTCCAGATCCTGTGTTAGAAGAGTCATCCTCTGATGAAGAGGACGCAAGCTCACAGGGTCTCCTGAAACCCAGCAAGGATCCTCACTGGAGGCCCCAGTACCTACAGGGCCAGGAGGAATCAACACTTCCTGAGGAGGGTTCTGAGAAGCTCACTATAGAAGTGGCACCACAGTACCATATTGATTGCAAGAAGTCAAAGGCCAATTGCTACATGTCAGAGCTCACTCACACATCAGGACAAAGTACCACCCTCCCTCTCACACAAGAACAGGGACAGAGGAAGCCAATACCAAAAAGAATAGCATTCATTTGCAAGCAGAAAACCTCCCTTCCCATACTCATGAGCCAGGACTTAAGCCTGACTAGGATCAGCTCCATTAATGCAAGGGGTGGAGCCAGCAACAAAGCCTATCAATAGATGCATGGATCTTATACAGCGATCTTCAAGTCAGCTTTTTGTCATGTATCTAGAAAATTGGCTGGACAGCTCCTCTGCTGTTTCAGCAATCTTGCTTTTCCTGGCTTGGCTGGACAGCTCCCCTGATTTCTCAGCAGTCTTGCCTTTGATGATCCTACTCATCCTTGTCCTGCTAGGCTTGATTTGCTGGTAAGATGGCGAATAAACACTACCTGGCAACAGTACTTGTGGGGATAAAACAGTCAACTTGCAATCCTGGTGCAACATGATATGCAAAGTTTTACCAGTGCAACACCTCCTTAATGCTATTAGGTATTATGTCTCGACCACTGGATCCAGGTGTTGCATGAACTGTAACTCAGAACGTCAGAACTATGCTATGCTGTATAAATCAGTTTCAAGAGGGTAAACGAAATCTATCAGCATTGCCTCTAGACACGTGAAGGCCTGAGGAAAAAATGAAGATAACTTGGGGAAAGGTATTCCCCCCCCCATTTCCCCCAAGGAAAAATTAGAAAATTTGGAGGAGCAATGAAAAAACTCTGGTGAAATATATTCTAAGAATGAGCACGATGCTTAAGTTTAAGGTTTTCATACTCAAAAGTCTCAGAACTTTTGGGTAGTGCTGAAAAACACTCTTATACTGTAGATATATACAATGTTTTCAGTATTTTTTTGTTTAAATGTAAATAATTTGGTTAACAACCAATATGCTATAATGTGTTTATATTATATGTTATTAAAAAGTTCAGTGTGTCAATGTTATAAGGTTTAGCTTAATATCCAGACATGCTGGTAGTCCAACCTATTGTCGCTCTATGAGGGAGTTTATTTAAAAACAAACACTTTCTTTTGTTGACTACAGAATTTGTTTTCTACCTTCAACATTTATTTTTCCTACCTTTAAGGTGGCAAAAATCACAGATGCATGTCCTATGGCAGTACAAAGTACAGCAGTCTGCAACTCCTTCTCAAGTACTGGACATACTTGCAGTTGTGCTACACATCTCAATTCCATAAATATGCCATATAGCACACTTTTGTAAGCTAAGTTATAAATTATGCATTCTATGTTGTTAAATTGGTAAAGGAAGTTTAGTCTGCTAAGAAAGTAACTACTGAATATATTTCAATCTTCCTCAACTTTTCTGTGTTTTTTAAAAAGCTCCCCTCCCCCCATGTGGCTTCTAAATTTCTGGACATCTTACATCCAATTGTATTCATTGGCAGAATATTCCCCTTATTCAGTTGATTATCAGTACGAACATTTTCAATGTCTTGGATAATGTAATAAATATGGATGGGGAGGATAAAAGAGGACAAAAACCCTGTTACTCTAATGATGTAGTTCCAAAATAGTATGTTATTAACAGCCTTACAAGTTTTTACCTGCCTAACCTTTACCAGGAATTTTCATGACATGGAATGCTCCAGTAAATGTGCATTTTTCACTAAGACATATCATGACAACCAGAAATACAGGCTACTAAGTGACTGCATTGTACCACACACAGCAGTTTAATGGATTCTCTGAATTTGGTCCATACACTGATTAAAACAAAACTTTAAAAGCTGATTCTCATGAATGTAACAAATTGATATATCACTTCAGTAAAATATGTACTGATGGTGACCAGACAGTGACTGTTTTCCAGATTTATTTTAGACCTCTAGACTACAAGATGCCCAGTAACTGACACGACACTGAAAAATGCTAAGAGAAGAACTTAAATTCAAAAACCACCAAGTGTCTAAGCATCTGCTTAAAACTGAACCTGTATCCTCTGGAAATATTCCAAGGGTTTCTTGTTTGGGCTTTTAGAAACCATACTGGAGGTTTGGGGCTTTAATTCGCTCCTCTCCTTTTGACCAGCTTACAGAGTTTCACATTCCCAACAGACTGGTTTGTTGTGTTTTCTAAACTGTATAAAATCATGAACCATGGTTCATTCTCTTCAAACCAGTGTCACATGGTTTACTAGTTTGCTTTCATTTCTGACCCATGCTCAAGGCAAAGAGCAGAAACCAAGGACTTCAAAGGCTCATTCCTGCAACAACAACCCACTTTCTGTTACTATACACCTATAAATATTCCCACCCACACTAATTGTCTGACACAAAATTGAGACCTCAGCAAAATAATGCCAGCTCTTTTGCTATACTTTGGTGACCACCTCATATGCCAAGCAATCAACTTTCTACATGAGAAAGGAGAACAATTCTGTGTTTCCTCCTGGGACTTTCATTCACTGTTAATTTGAGAAATGACTAGTCTGGTCAGCTGCCTGCAACAGCTGGGGAACTGCTAGAGGTTAGACAACAGAGATATTATATTAATATAAGTATAGCTATTTAGAAACTCTGTTAGTGACCTGGTATAAATAGCAGAAAGACCAAATTAAGTCTGAGCATTTTCAAAACAAACAAGAACTTATTTGCTATGTTTTCCTTCCCCCCCACCCTTCAAAAAGCCAGGAAGAGCAAGGCATTTGATAAGTCATAGCAGATTAAAACTTCTCTTTTTTGTCCAGTTGATTGAGGTGAAAATCTTCTTTCAGCTTCTACAAAGAGTATTCTGCCTGTGGAAACCAGAACATGATGCCCAGTTTTTCCTGAACGTCACTTGGAACTGTCACTGAATACCTGGAGACAACTGCAAATAGCTTCAAAGGACTGTAAGTGTCTTCTGTTCATCCATCGCATCGTTTTAAAGTAATCAGCCAACTGTTTCCACGGCTGACTTTCGAGGAAAGGCATTAGAGTTATATGCAGTATAGGAAATATGCTAGAGCTGTAAACATTCCTAAAGCACTTGCTGGTCACTTACAGGGAAATAATTTGCTCCCCTGGTACACAGAATCTATTGGAAAGGATCCAATGATTTATATAGTTCAGCCCCATACCCTAGGTCAGAGTATCGTATGCATATGTCACCATACAGGCTTTACTTGAAAATATCCAAGAAAGGAGATTCCACCATCTCCCTCAGTAGTTTTCCCACTGATTGACTGCTCATAGAAAAATTTTCCCCTTTATTTTTAATGTGTACCTTTTGTAGTTTAAACCAGTGGCTTCCCCCTCCCCCCATATAACCAGGGTGTGATTTTCAAGCTTTCCTACAAATTCTGTGCCTTTACATTCCGCAAATGCTTGTTTAAAGGAAGAGTCCTCTGTAAGACAATATGTGCCGTTGCTATGAAATCTTTCATGCCCACAGCCTTGTTGCCAAAGCTCATTTAAGAACAAGCAAGGAACGTCAAAAGAAAATACTGACTTTATATTTTGATGGGATGTAACAAGACATTACATTTCTATATTACAACAAACACAGGACCGATTCAGTCATTCTAGCCGGTGTACAAATAGTAACTTCTTATTAACAGAGGCCACTAAAATTTACCTAGCGTATGCCTGAACAAATTCCATTAGACAGAACATTTCAAGGAAACTTGAAAAATCTTTTCAGAAAATATTATATCATATGGTACCAAGACAGCAAACTGCAAATGTGCAAATCGGGATACCTGTATTAATGATAATTTGTAAGACTATGTTAGCTTAAATTCAAGTGTGCTGGCTTGGGCTGTTTCGGGCTTAGAGGTAGGCAGAGAGGCACTGTGAAAAACATCTTGGACTGGAATTCTCAAAGGGTTTCCACAGCCCTTAACAAGCTCAAGGCAAGCTTGCATTTCTTTGTTTAGCCCATATATATTTTAACATACAGA